ACAAATAGACCCCATATTTTATTTTCACAAACTTTGTGGTTTCTGATTTCTCAGGAAATAGAAGGCCCTGTGTTGAAAAGTACTAGTTCGAAAAAGAGACCTGACTAGGGAAGTTTTTATCAGACAACCAAAGAACCCAAGAGAGATTTGCTAACCAAACTGGCACACACAAACTGACTATTTTAAAACAATTTGATGCCCTTGAGTCACTCTAACGTGACTTTTAAGGGAAATCACCTTCCTCCTCATCTTAATGACAGTCTATTTGGGGCCAGATGGATAATATTTCTGCCAGTGGTTACTATATAAAGCTTCCTATGAAAGTGCACTATTGTTCTCACTGTTGTTTTGATGTTTTTTGTTGTTGTCCTTGTCATAAAATGCTTTCTTCCTCCTCTGACAAAACATCCACCACCGCCAGAAGGTTGCAACAAATGTATTCATCTCTGAAAGACAGCAGCTTCAGGCTAGACAGCCAGGACAGAATCGATGTTGCTATGAGACTTCCTAGGGAGGGGCTTTAAAAGGGAGGCTCATCTCTGTGGGACCTGATCCAGGACAAGCACACTAAGGCACCATGCCTCCAATGCTTCCCTTTGTCTTACACAGTCATTTTGGGAATGACTTATACCAAGAATTTGTAACTTTGGAGAGAAGGGGGTCAAAAACACACTGGTTCTTACTGCCACAGAAACACATTTGTTACTGTATGGAAGAAAACATACCTCTTCACAGCTGGGAACCTCAATTCTCTTAAGCATTTTGGAGAAGTGCTCAGTGCTTTTAAGTTTGAAGGAAAAAAAAAGTTATGACACTTAAGTCTAAGGAAAGAATATACTAAGCACACTGAACTGCTTCAGGACATGAACTTTCTTCAAGCTAAAGAACCAGAGGACCAACCCAGCCACCTCCTTTCCTAACTGGAGGTAAAGGCCACCAAAGCAAACCTGAAAGGTAGTAAGGCCCCAGTGTAAGGATTCACCCTCTCACCTAGACCTACTGTTTGAAATGGTGACCTGTTTTTGATATGAATTCAAGGAGTTCTGAAAAGACAGATTTTTGGAGAAAACTGTTCCAAACAGCCAAGTCTCAGTCATTTTTGGACCAGCTCTCCTCTTCTTCCATGACGCAAGCTTTCCCTTGGCTACAGTACCCGGGTTGTTAGGAAGGAGAAGGTTGGAACGCTAGTGGAAACAGACAGTTGTGAACACTATACAATCTGATAGTCTGCCTTGGCTCTACTGACAGGTGTTGAAGAAAAATAGCTGTCCATTTGAACTGATGGATAAACAAAACAAAACCAAAAAAAAAAAGGTTTTATCTTCACATTCAGAGACTACTTGTCTACACTAATTCTATATGCCTTACCACCATAGGTGAGGCCTACACCTGGAATGACATTGCTGTGCTAAACAAAAATAATAATAAAATACCATGGACATATGCTGCAAAAACACAATTACACATTTACCAGATAAACAAAGGCTCATCTAAAAAGAAAGGATTTCCAGGGTCCAGTACGCAGTTAACCATTTTGAGGTGAAGAAAAAAAAAAGCAAGAGAAAATACTACAATGAAAGAGCAATTTAAAAACACAAATAGCCACTTCATAACTTAAAGCTTAAAGGCTTTCATGCTAATCCCCAGGACAAGTATTTAAAGTTAACAAATGTGAGAAATGAGGTTGGAATCCTTGGACAGTGTAAATGATTTATCATTATTTTCTTTGAGAGGCAGTCAATATGCTCTGTGCTTAACTCTATCAAATTTTTTCAAATACATCCTTTCTTCTACCTTTTCTTCTTGGAATTTGGAAAATGAAGGAAATTGAAGTCCTGGTGACAGTACAAACTGATCCTACTGCACCTCAGACCTCAGACTGTCACAGAAGGAGGGGAACAAAACTGTATTTCACGAGGAGGGGGGTAAAAAATCTAACTACAAAAAAAAAAAAAAAGGAAACTTCCTAAAAGCTTACACTAGGGGAAAAAATCCAAAATCAATAATTTGATTATCTTATTATATTGGCAACTTTTTAAAAGTTATTTTGGTATTACCTAAGTTTTTTTAACAAGAATTTGACTTCATTCTTTAAAAGAGTTTTATGAGAAGGCAAAATAATATAAATTGTGTTAAATATATCAATTATATCCCTCTAAAAGTGCATATGGATAAAAGAAATTAAAAAACTCCCAATTTTATGTTCATTGTGACTCTCCAAAATTTTGAAATCCTCAGCATACATAATTCACATTTTTCTTCACCAAAAAAGGGTAATATGATAGTTTCGTTCTTATTCCAAAATCTTAATACAAATTAGGTCTTACTGCATATTTCCAAGGCCTTTCTTTCAAATCAGATCCAAATCTATTTCACTTGAGACTATGTGCCTACAATTAAGTTTATTCTATTTTAATCTGGTACTATTACTGATGACTATGATCTAGCCCTAAAAAAGTCCAAAAGTAAATTATGTAATAAACACAATTCTAAAACCAACTCCTTCCATTAAGTGTGTAATCCACTGTCTCCTCTGTCTGGTAAACATTCCTGTAGAATATTCCTAGCAAAGGGAGAAACTGACACCTATTGGTAACTTTAATATTACCTCCCCAGAGCTCATCTTGACCATGGTTTCTAAAACCTGAATATTTTCTGGATGTATCCACCACCCCTAAGCCTACACCCCACACACACACAAAAATCCAAAACCACAGCTATTCACATTAGAAATTGAATGTTGAAAACTTGAGAATTTTCAATTTTGCTCTCAAAGTTCATACCATAAAAGCTTTCAAAAGAAGCAGCTCTATACTGGTTTGTTTTTGGATGGGCTCAGAGAAAAGAAAAAAATACCACTACTAAGACATGTGGGATTTAGGTATAAATTTATGGTGGCAACATAGCAGGAATTAGGCAGCCTGTTTCTTTCTCAGAAGCCAACAGAGACATATTTGATTCCCCAAGCCATGGATAGCTGTATGCTATTGATAGGGTCTTGGAGCAAAAGCACAGGAAACCTGGTTGTTGGATCTCCCTGTTTTTCCAGCCACTGGCCTTCAACTTGCAGCTCAGCAGGAAGGAAAAGTAGGGAAGTGGAGCAAGTAGAACAATTCTCATGCTGTCCTGATATGCTCCTCTGCCATAATGTGGGTGATAAAATGAGGAATAAAGGAAAGACCTTTCAGCAGTTCACCCAACAGTTTCCAGAAAATTAGTACATGGTCATATAAATGTAATATATTAATGTATCAACAGTTGCAATAAATTGCAATCAATTAGGTCACCGGGGCAAAAAACTGAGATATTGAGAGAGATCCAAATTTTATCAAGCCACAAAGCATATAAAGTTACTCATGGAATATGGTGGTCCTTGTGTAAAGATGGTGCTAACAAAGAGAGTATAAGAACTCAGCAAGATTATACAACCCTCAATGAAAGATATTCTCTGCTGTATTTCTAGGTAGAGTTCACAATACCTTGTCCAGAGTAAATACTTGATCAACATTTCTTGAACTGATTCAACTCCATTTTAACCCATCAAGTGTACCTCACACCCTTGAGCTGTTTTTCATAAAGTGGTGAAAAGAGGCACCTAACTATCCATACTGTTAATATCTGATTTCTCTAAAGAATCACTGCTATTGATCCACCCAGTACTGGTTGGTCAACTCTAGGGGGAAAAAATTGTGAGGGAACAAAAAACAATAAATAGCTAATATTGAAATTGTGCTTCAAAGATTTCAACAAGCTTTATTTAATTTTTTTCCTTTGAATTTCACAACAGATGAGAAAACCAGTAGTGGGAAAGGTTAAGTAACATGTCCCATGGTCATACACCTAGAAAGAGTCAGCAGGATCTGAACTCACTTCTTCTTGACTATAAATTCAGCACTGTATTGAGTATCCTATATTACAATGGCTTAAAGGCTCTAATTTTATTGGGATTTCTGACAGCATCCACTCTCCCAAATTCTAAAGGAAGTCTATTATCACATTAACCAAAGAAAAAGATATGCATAGAAAAAATTTGAATTACATTTCTCAGTTCTTCTGCTTCTATTAGTGACATGATGGAGCAAGGAACAGAATGACAAATTCAAGATTGAATTCATCTTCAGTTTTGCTCTACCAGAGCATGCAAGCACTTACTGGAAAACCTACTCTGGCACCACACCAAAAAGTATTACAAAAAATGCACAAGTGTGTCTATTGCAAGGCATCCATGAGCAGCTATACACATCAGCAAAAGACCAAAAACTCCACTCAGTCCAATTATGATCCATTGGATATTCAATGCAACAGAAGCAGTGGGAGGGTCCAAAAGAATTTAATACAAGAAGCAAAAAAACAAAATAAACCATAAGCGGGATAGGGCTGGGAAATTCTTTTTTATTTTTAAATATATGTAATTTACTGTAGAGAACAAACCGCTTTTTCAGACAGCATTTTCTACCACAAAGTATGTGGCATCCTTAGAGGAACTAAGTGGCAGCTCCTTAAGCATGAATCATGACCCTACCCCCACTTCAATCAGTACCTCATGCAAGGGGCTTCACGTCCATGAGACTCCACTCCCTTGCTTCGGAACTGTATAATTCAGTTATCTCCTTTGTAAGAATGCCATATTAACTAAATAAATGCTAACTAATTGGAAATGCTTTAAAGCATAAAAAAGCATTATGAAGCCATAATTAATGAATAATTAGGAACTCCTGTTTCCACTTTACACAGAGGGAAATTATAGCAACAAAATAGCAAACCTGCCCAACAGAATATAGAATGTACAGCTAAGTATCTGTCTCCTAAGTTTCTGTATTAAACATAAGGACTTCTAAGGGGATTCATAGGAAAATGAGAGTAGAGACCTATCAAACAAGATAACAATACGTACAAAAGGTTAGGTAACTGATGTAAAGTATTGTTTTGACTATAGCAGATGTGCAGCATGAATGCAAATAAATGTTACAGCCAGTAAATTAAAACAGATATGTACATACTTGTAACAAAGAACTTTTTTGTGAAAGTGCAGCTATCAAAGGCAGCAATTTTCTCTTGCAAGACTACAACGAGGATTCTAAAATAGAAAAAGAAAACCAGAGTGAAAAAAAAAAGTAAATAGTCATTATGACAGTACAATTCTACAAATTAATTTCACAGTTATATCAGGTATGCTGAAAAAATTCTGAAGACATCAACAGTCACCAATCCAATTGTTGATGACACCGTAATTCAAAAGAATGCTGAATCTGGAGCTACAGTTCCCTTCCTAGCACCCCCCCCAAACAAAAAACTATTGCAGGGAAGATGAAAAATATATAACAAAGCAGCTTAGATCATAAGGGGAAAAAAAGGGTTAAAGGAAAAAATCTAACACAGAAGAAAAATTAGAGCAACTGTTAACTGAAACGTATTTTGCCCTCCCCTCAATTCTATTTACCCAAATGGAATTTCCAGTGATTATAACTCTGTGAAATCCATCTTCATTACAAATGGCTAAGTTTAACAATCAATTGTTCATCATTTTCTAAAAGTGTTTTTCCTGTGACAGCTCAGAGTCAGGGAATTAAAGATCAAATGGATTTATGAAAACTGTCATTAAAACGATTGCTGGATTTCCAAGAGCAAGGACAATAGAGGAAAAAAAAAACAAGAGGACACTGGCTAACCAGCAAAATGAATCAACTCTTTACATTAAATAGATGAGAATTCAACCAAGATGGAGTAATAGTTACATTAATCTCCATATTTTCTTTTAAAATTCACTGTGTATTTCAGGCAACTTAGGGCAACATTTTCCTCCAGGGCTACATATCCACAAATAGTTGGGCATTTTGTTCAGCCACATAATTAAGATACCCATAAAAAAGCAAAAAGTGGCAGACTAAAAACCATGATTTGTACGATTCAGAGAACAATATAAAGTAAAATGAAGTAATGACAACAATAAAGTCACCCGATACCTAAACTTGACTGAAATCTCAGGTGGTTTGACAAAAGTCTATCCAGTCAAATGTGATAGGATGATATAATTTTATAATTTTAGAAATGTTTGGTTTTCATTAAGGAATATTGAGGGCTGAAGTCTTTAGAATAAGAAAAAAATCCTCACAATAATTTTAGTTATGAAATGTGTAAGTGCTCTCTTCATACTATGAAAATCAGCACACACACATGGAGCTTTGGTTTGGTTCAGCCGAAAACATGTTAAAATGACAGATCCTTCTTTCAATGGCACCAAACAGTGAGCTCAATAAATACAAGGAGTCAAGTCTTTGAGATGATAAAGGTAAAACTAAAAAGAACAATGGTGAGAAGACAAAACTGAGATACTCAGAGGCCAAAAAAAAGATAAAAAGTCATAATCATTTCCAAAATAATTATTTTTAGGGAGAGATTAGTTCGATGAAGTATGTTAAGATCCAAAAAGGGTGCAACTTCTGCTTTGTTCTTCATTTGGAAAGAACAATGCAAACATGAACAAGGGAGATAAAAAACTGACACTGTACTTAAAAGTTAGAATCTATTCATACAAAACACTATCTTGTCTTTGCCAACCTTCAGAGTGACTAAAATCTAATAGAGGTTTGTTTTTTTTAACTTTTTATGTAATATGAAATGACAGTGTGGCATCAACAAAATATTCAAAGGTCTGGCTACAAACATATAATTTATTTTTCTCTTTTGCTGATGACCTTTCATAACTCACTCATAACTCTGCCTCTACCTGCCACTCATGAGTTATATGATCATTAATAACTTGTGGAAATAAATAAGGTGAATACAATCAGCATAATGCATATCCTTTTGACATAACATTCTGGGTTTGTTTTTGCCTCATAATCTGTACCTTTTAAAAACATTTGAGTGCAATCAATGTTCCCACTTTCTAAAACAGAAAGAAATATGCCAAACCTATCTTTAAATGAAGATCTCAGACAATATTTTTAATTTTCACATGAATCAACAACAAAGGAAAACACTTGGGACAAATAGAAAGTAAGGAAAAACCATTGAATTTGGTCTTACCATCTTAGTATTTATTACATTCTTTCAAAAAATATATTACATTTATAATACACTGAGAAATACTGAAATCTTAACAATATGTGCTGTACTGGTGAGAGAGCAATGTCTCCAAGTTGAAAAAGGGCAGAAGATACAAACCTCAAAGAAAATATTTCCCTTATGATATTTTTTAATTGTATCAATCAATAAACATTTATTTCTTTGCATCTATTATATGCTAGGTACTGTGCAAACAATGGAGATATGTGGAAAAAAGTTAAATAGTCAAAAATCCAGCTGTTATATCTGTGATTTAATTTTTTCTAGTATTTTTAAATTATATTAAGTGTATAAGGCATATGCATGTAATTAATGGAAAGTGTGTTAAGCCTTTGTGTGAATGGAAAATCAATCGTAATAAAGAATAGTAAATCATTATGTAGCTTAACCAGAAAGTTAACCAGAAAGAGAAGATACCTGAGTGGTAAGGCAGCCAAAAAGGTGAACTATGGGATTATTTTCCATCACTGGTAAATAGTTCCATAAATGAATAAAGTCTTCCACTTGAAAAGCTTACTTTTTCCAACTTAAAGTCTAACTTAAAGTATACAAAATCTGGCATCAAAATGGTTTGAAAGCAGGCAAGGTGTAATTAGTATGTAGAAGGAAACTAATTATTGATACTAAGAAAAAGGCATTTATTTACCATGGAAGGGGGCAGAGAACATTTTCTACTGTAGAATTTGAGATTGTTTTCAATATGAGGGAAATAGTGAAAGGTACAGAGGAAATCTTATGAATACTGTAATTGTTCATATTTAACACTAAGAATATTCACTTTGAAAATTTAACTTCCTTTAGCTAATATTAGAATTTGAAGCAATCTAGGGGGAAGAAAACCAAATCTAGAGACTTCCACAAGGTGGCTGTTCCTTTTTCAACAATTAGTAAGGGGTATTATTACTACCCGAAGATAGTGATATGCTCCTTTAAAACAGTTTTCTATTCCGAAAACAGAATTTAATCTTATGGAATTTTTCTTAACATTTTTTTGGGGGACAGGGTGGGAGTAGTATTAGGAAGTGTGATTCACTCATGCAGACTAACAATTCCTCCACAATAGAAGAATGACCTAGGGCACTGAGAAATTTTAAGGCTATGTCTGATGAGTGGCTTGAACCCAATTTCTATTTGAAGGCTATTCTCTATAATTTATTGTCACATTACCTCTCATAATTTATACTCTCCAAATGGAAAGCATTGTTTCTCTTTCTTATTCTTACTTACAGAGAATAATTGATGCTTTCCTTGGTTAAAATGGGTAAATGGGCAAGATCTAAACTGATAAAAATTTTTAAAAGAGATATTAAGCTCTGATAAATAAAATACTATGATCAATGGAATACTCAGAATGTCTACTGTACTGGGTTATGGATATCATACTCTATGCTATCAATAATCCCTTTGAGTATAAACATATATGCTAATATGTAAGTTTAATTTCAGGTTTAAAAGTATTTCTCTTCATATTTGTGGATAAGAAGAATCATATTATTATTCAATATCCAGGAAGGAACACTGGTTACTGAAGAAATAGAGGCAAAACCACAGAATATGCCCACTGGGCCCATCAACTTAAGTGAAGGATGGACATTTGCACAAAAAGAAAATGAACCGTGGGAAGTAAGTACTGGTCCCTGAAAAGTGAGAAGAAGGAAGGAAGTGAGGAATAGACAAAAGGAGGAAACAGAGGGAAGGAATATTAATTAAGTGCTTACTATGTGCCAAGTACTGTGCTAATTCCTTTTAAAAAATATTATCTTGGGGTAGCTAGGTGGCGCAGTGGATAGAGCAGTAGCCCTGGATTCAGGAGGACTTGAGTTCAAATCCGGCCTCAGACACATAACACTTACTAGCTGCATGACCCTGGGCAAGTCACTTAACCCCATTGCCTAGCCAAAAAAAAAAAAAAGAACTTGACCAGAAGAGGAAGCTTCCACACCAGGAACTCCTCCCACCAACAAAATCAAAGTACCAACACTCATTGTTCCTCACAACAACCCTGGGAGGTAGGTGCTATTGTTATCCCTATATTATGATTTAGGAAGCTGGGGAATAGGACTTGCCCAGGGTCAAACAGTGAATAATTGTCAGAGGGCAAATTTGAACTCAGGTCTTTCTAAGTCCAGGCCCAGCACTTAACTACTATGCCACCTAACTGCCAAAGGACCTGTTTCCTTTTTCAAAGCAGTGATTACTCTCATGTGACTGTATCATGGAAGACAGAAGATCTTAAGCTACATGTGATTGGGGCTTGTCTTTCTTCAACTGGTAAAATCTAAAACACTGGGGTTGGGGGCAGGCGTATTATTTTATTTTGGTACTACCTCTATCCACGTAAAAATAATGAGTTCAAAATTACTAATGGTTAAATTTAAACATTAACATGGAGGAGTATGTTTTTTTGTTGCTTTTAAAGGGAAAAAAACAATTTGGTTCCTATTCTTCCTTTAATGTGAAGAATGAAAGAGTATTTTAGAGTTACCCATCTGGCAGAATTCAGAAGGAACTTGACTAAATTAATTAGGTAATTTATTTTTTATGAACCTGACTCACAATGAAGTTAGCATATAGTACATAAAGTTTAAAGACATTACTAGATTTATCCATTTCCCAGAAGATATGTTAAGTTATGCTGGAAACAGCTGGAAAAATACTTACTGTTTGTTGCAGTGGAGATCATAGATAGGAGTCTTGAACTGAATGGACTTCACCATCTCCCCAGTACGAAGGGAATGCAAATCCACACAACAATATGGGGGACTTGTGCTAAAAGGAAGCAAAATTCATTGCTGTAAAATTAATACAAAAAGGTGAAGGAAGGAGGCATACACTGGAAACATTGGAGCTTTTATTATGCCCGTCATTCAGCCTTTAAAAAAAAATTCTAAACCATAAACATTCTCCAACCTAAAGTGCATTAATTTCAGGAAACAAAACTTGAAAGGATAGGTAGGTAGAAAATGGAGTTTATTCCTGGTGTTACATCTTACAGAAGCATTTATTCTACATTAATAATAAAAATCCCTAACTGAAGACTGAATTTATTTCTGGTCACAATCTAGACAAGCTGCCTCATATCATCCACTTATACAAGCCTCATATAGTTGACACAACTGGGGCCACACAGTTAAGTTTCAAATAGATTTCTGAAATGACTTTGCAGATCTTCCCTCATTAAACTTACTAGTGATCATATATAAAGTATATATATATATATACATATATATATGTATGTATGTATAAAGTATATATTAATATATAAAGCATCAATATTAATTGCTATTGGCAATACTGTAGGGAAACCAGGTGTTTTCCATCACATACAGGCAGTTCCCAACTGACAAACACTCAAATCCTCAATGAACTGCAAGCACACATGATGGACAGACATCAGTCAAGGGTGTTTAAATCCAGAGCCCCTACAACCCCTATGGATAGATACGCCCTTTGTTTCTCAATTCTAAACACCTGAGGAGTTAAAAGAGGCTTAAAAAAGAGATTTGAAAGGCTGAGCCAAAATGGCAGAGTAAAGACCAGGAACTCACCTGAACTCTCCCCTAAACCCCTCCAAATACCTTTAAAAAACTACTCTAAGCCAATTCTAGAGCAGCAGAACCCACAAAAAGATGGAGTGAAACAAATTTACAACCCAAGACAAACTTGAAAGGTCAGCAGGATAGGTCTTTTGCATCAGGATGAGAGAAGACTACACCGGTGCAGACCAGGCCCTAGCAAACCCAGAGCAGGCCTCAGGGGCAACTGAATCAGTGGCAACACTGGCGGTTTCCAAACCTCTCAGTTCATAGATGTCAAAGATAACTTAAAAGATTATCAGGAAAGGTCTGTTGCAGTGAAGTGCAATTGAGAGTGAAGTGCACTCCAGCACAGGTCGCACCAGCACAGACTAGACCACAGGAAACCAGGAGCAGGCCTTGGGAGTGACTGAACCAGCAATGGCAGCAGCTGCTTCCAGAGTTCTCAGCCCACAGACAGCAAAGTGGTTGAACTGGTCAGAAGGAAATTACAGGGGTCTTTTTGCTAGCACTGAGGCAGAACTCTGTCACTTTACCCATACTCAGATGTGGGTCATAGTTCTGGACGGCAGTTCAAGGCAAGAAGAAGTACTAGAATAGCAGAGCTTTCAGTCAACATGGAGGGGGAACCCTACTCACAGTTCGAGGGCAGAAAAGAGTGCAAGTGGTCACTCACAGATCAGAGCACAGGCGAGGAGAGGAGTAAACACCTCTTCTTAGATCATACTGCCTTGGAAGAACTGAAAACTTACAGGTCCCTAGAAGTATCTCTAAAAACAGCTGCACAAAGCATGAAGCATGGAACAGTTTGCCCTTCACACTGGAAGCAGAGACCTACTTTAAAGAATTAAAAGTCAAGCAATAGACTGGGAAAATGAGCAAACAGCAATAAAAACTTTGACTACAGAAACTTACTTTGGTGACAAGGAAAACCAAAATACACACTCAGAAGAAGACAGCAAAGGCAAAGCTCCTACTCCCAAAGCCTCCAAGAAAAACACGAATTGGTCTCAAGCCATTGAAGAGCTCAAAAAGGATTTTGAAAATCAAGTAAAAGAGAGGAAAAATTGGGAAGAAAAATGAAAGTAATGCAAGAAAATCATGAAAAAACAAGACAACAGCTTGGTGAAGGAGACACAAAAAATACTGAAGAAAATAACACCTTAAAAAAGAGACTAGGCCAAATGGTAAACGAGATCTAAAAAGCCAACGAGGAGAAGAATGCTTTAAAAAGCAGAATTGGACAAATGGAAAACAAGGTCCAAAAGCTCACTGAAGAAAATAATTCCTTAAAAATAAGAATGGAGCAAATAGAAGCTAAAGTCTTCATGAGAAATCAAGAACCAATAAAACAAAACCAAAAGAATGAAAAAAATAGAAAACAGTGTGAAATTTCTCACTGGAAAAACAACTGACCTGGAAAATAGATCCAGGAGAGATAATTTTAAAATTACTGGACTACTTGAAATATGTGATCAAAAAAGCACCCAGAAATCATCTTTCAAGAAATTATCAAGGAAAACTGCCTTGATATTCTAGAACCAGAGAGTAAAATAAAAATTAAAATAATACACTGATCACCTCCTGAAAGAGATCCCAACATGAAAACTTCCAGGAATACTATAGACAAATTCCAGAGTTCCCAGGTAAAGGAGAAAACATTGCAAGTAGCCAGAAAAAAACAATTTAAGTATCAGGGAGCCACAGTCAGGATAACACAGGATTTAGCAGTTTCTACATTAAAAGATCAGAGGGCTTGAAAGAGGATATTCCAGAAGGCAAAGAAGCTGGGATTAGAACTAAGAATAATCTATCCAGCAAAACTGAGTATAAATCTTCAGGGCAAAAAAAAAAAAAATGGACATGCAATGAGATAGAAGACTTTCAAGCATTCTTGATGAAAACACCAGAGCCCAACAGCAAATTTGACCTTCAGATACAACACTCAAGAGAAGCATAAAAAGGTAAACAGGAAAGAGAAATCATAAGGGACTTAATAAGGTTAAACTGTTTACATTGGAAGATGATCCCTGTAACTCATAAGACCTTTCTCATTATTAGAGTAGTTAGAAGGAGTATGTATACACAGAGGGCACAAGGGTAAGTTGAATATGAAAGGAATGATATCAAAAAATAAAATTAAAGGGTAAAAATGTAATATACTAGGGGTAGAATGGGGTAAATTGTCTCACATAAAAGAGAGAAGAAAAAGTTTTTACAGTGAAGAGGGAAAGGGGGGAGATGAGGGTGAGGGAACCTTACTCTCATCATAAAACTGGCTGAAAGAGGGAATAACATACACACTCAAATGGGTATATTAATCTATTTTACCCTACAGGAAAGTAGGAGGGGAAGGGGATGAATGGGATAGAAGGGAGAACAGACTGAGGGAAGGGGTAGTCAGAAGCAAAACAATTTTGATGAGGGACAGGGCAAAAGGAGAGAGAGAATAAAATAAATTGGGGGGGAATAAGATTAAGGTAAATACAGCTGGCAATAGTAACTGTGAAAAATATTTTGAAGCAAGTTTCTCTGATGAAGACCTCATTTCTCAAACATAGAGAACTGAGTCAAATTTATAAAAATAAGAGCCATTTCCCAATTGATAAATGATCAAAGGATATAGTCAGCTTCCAGATGAAGTAATCAAAGCTATCTAGAGCCATATGAAAAAATACTCTAACTCACTATTGATTGGAGAAATGCAAATTAAAGCAATTCTAAGGTGCTACCTCATACCTATCAGATTGGCTAATAGGACAGAAAAGGTAAATGACAAGTGTTGGAGGGGATGTGGGAAAGATGAGACATTAATGCATTGTTGGTGAAGTTGTGAAGTGATTCAACCATTCTATAGAGCAATTTGGAACTATGCCCAAATGGTTATAAAATCATGCATACCCTCTGACCTAGCAGTACCACTAGTAGCTCTGAATCCCAAAAGAGATAAAGAAAAAAAAAGGTAAAGGACTTAATATGTACAAAAATGTTTATAGCGTCTGTTTTCTGAGGGCAAAGAATTAAAAAGTGAGAGGATGCCTATCAGCTGGGGAATGGCTGAACAAGTTGTGGTATGCGATTATGATGGAATACTATTGTGCTACAAGAAATGATAGGCAAGCAGACTTCAGAAAAACCTGAAAAGACTTGTATGCTGAGTGACTGATGTAGAGTGAAGTGAGCAGAACCAGGAGAACATTGTACACAGTAAAAGCTATGTTGTGCACTGACTAACCTTGACAGACTTAGCTGTTCTCAGCAATGCAAGGATCTAAGACATCTCCAAAAGCCTCATGATGGAAAATGCTATCCACATCCAGAGAAAGAACTATGGAGCTGGAATGCAGATTGAAGTATACCATTTCCTCTTTTTTTTTCTCTTCTGTTTTGTTTCTTTTTTCTTGTGGTTCCCCCATTGGTTCTAATTCTTCTTTACAACATGACTAATGTGAAAATGTGTTTAATAGGAATGTATATGTAGAGCCTATATCAGATTGCATGCTATCTTAGAGAGGGAGGTGGAGAGGGAGGGGGAGAAAATTTAAAACTCAAAGGGTTATGGAAGTGAATGTTGAAAACTAAAAATAAATTAATTAGTAAAAAAAAATGATCTCGAGGAAGACTCTATTTATTCCTATGCTCCATAGTGTTTTTAATAGGAATGGGTGTTGTAGTTTGTCAAATGCTTTTTCTGCACCTATTGAGATAATCATGTGATTTCTGTTAGTTTTGTTGTTGATATGGTCAATTATGCTGATAGTTGTCCTAATACTGAACCAGCCCTGCAATCCTGGTATAAATCCTACCTGAACATAGCACATTATCCTTGAGATTAGTTGCTATAATCGCTTTGCTAATATTTTATTTAAATTTTTTGCATCTATATTTATTAGAGATATGGGTCTATAATTTTCTTTTTCTGATTTGGCTCTTCCTGGTATCAGCACCATATTTGTATCATAAAAAGAATTTGGTAGGACTCCTTCTTCACTTACTTTCCCAAATAGTTTATGTAGTATTGGAATTAATTATTCTTTAAATGTTTGACAGAATTCCCTTGTAAATCCATCTGTCCCTGGAGAATAAATGAAGTTTTCCTTAAAATGAAAGATAGCATCTATCTAAAATCATCAGCAAGCATTACATGTAATGGGGATAAGCTAAAAGCATTTCCAATAAAATCAGGGGTGAAAAAAGGATGTCCATTGTCACCACTGTTCTTTAATATCATAC